ACTAAATTTCGTAAAATTCCAAGTTTTCCCAATTTACTGATAACTCGGGAGTCAGATAACGTTGTTCCATTAGCCAGAACGGCCGATTTATGCTGAATTTAAATGCTGAATTTAATTTGTAAAGACGCGAATCTTAATCTGTCACTATAGCCTATATGTTGGCGTGTCTTAATTGCCTCTGTCAAATTATAAATTAGTGCATTTTATTTTACTTTCAAATTTCCGGAATAACCTTTTACCATTTGGGTTTTAACAAGGGCTTTGGCAAGATTTGATACGGTTGGAAGCAAAACAATATGCACTGTTTTTTAAGTAGATACTAAAGCTTCTGTTCTAGAGAAAAGATTATTTCAAGGAAAATTTTTAAGATACTGCTTCTATAAATGTTATTCTTTTGGTAGAAAATATGCCTAACGTCTGTCATAATGATCACGAATCAGCGACATGGAAGCGGCCTTTTAGTAGTCTTCCACTCATGAACGTGGTGTTTATTTTGGTCAGCTTTCTGGGTGGAAGACCTGATGTTTATAGACCGTGGAATAGGTTAGAGAGAGACCGTAATCTAACGAAAGTGGCCTTGCAGAAGAAGGAGGACCTGCGGGACACTTGTTCAACTTCCGGCCTCTGGCTCCTCGCACCGGCGTCAGGCTTCTCCTTCCAGCGGCTTCTGCTCTTTGCTCTGCAAGCGCCTCCTGCACAACGGCCTGCGGCTCTCTTTACATCCACGGTAGGCCTCAGCGTGACTTACTGTTTTTCAATAGCAGATCTTCTCTATACACAGGTAAGTTGTACAGCTGCGCAAAAATACTAAATTGCTTTCTCATTTTTCTGATGAAATATAATATATATTTTTTTCCTCTTTTTTGATAAGAGACTGGATGTAGATTCTCATCCTTGATCACGTCTCCAGATGTTTGTGTTGCCGCTGGTGTTCATCTGCCTGGCCATGCTGGGGGTCCTGGTGCCGCCCGCCTTCGAAGGCACGCGCCCACCTGGAAATGAGTCCACACATATATTCTGCGCCCCACCTCCTTCGTCAGGTGCGTTGCCTGGCGATGGCCTCTGATGTCCTCCTCGTGGAAATCGCCAACGTACTTTTTGCCATAACAGTTTTTATATTATTATAGAAAGGGCTAAAATGCCGCGTCTCCCCTCAGGCAACTGGACCCGACCTTCGAGCCCTGGCAGAGGAGTTCCTTCGGCTGACCCTGGGCGCCAGCAGCAGCAGCAGCAGCGCGGGGCAGTGGTCCGCCTGCCCTTCCAGCGTGGCCAACGCCAGCCTTGGTGTGGTGCCGCACTGTAATATATCAGGCGATGTAAGTAGATAGCGCTGAGTGTGTGTTTTTTAACTTATAGTAGGGAAGCAGTGAACTGTACATTCTAAGTATATTTTATATTTACATGTGTGTGTGTGTGTGTTTGTTTGTATTTGTGTATTTGTGTTTGTGTTTTGTGTATGTGTGCATGTGTGTGTGTTATTTGTTACATTAATGAGTGAGAATACCATCAGTCTACTACAGCAACGTGCTGCAGATGATCATCATCTCAAGAACTTCGGTGAGAGTTTCCACACACTGTGGCGCAAATACGACCTAAATGGCGAACACCTGTTAGGGACAGAATAAGAATAAAAATGCGGTTCATTCAATCAGTAATTAGATCCTTGTTTCCATCATGATATGAAGCAGTCATTGTGCATAGCCCATTTTCCTCCCGCAGAGCACGCAGTCCCTGTGCAGATGCGAGGATGACGTGTGTTCCGTGGACGTCACCAACCAGCCCAGCCTCAACGACTGGATCTTAGGAACACGATATAAACATGTCCAGAACAGGTGAAGGACCTGTCTGTGTTTATATATATATAACCATGATGAATTACATATGGAATCCTACAAATTCTTCAATTATTGACAGCATAGACTAATTGACTAGAAAGGTGATAATTAGATGGGTGATTCCAACTCGTCGTGATTTGATCAAGTGAAAGAAATATTGAAGTTCCTGTATCCCGACGTCACAATATAAAATAGCAGACTGGTAATACAAGGAA